CCGAGGCGGGTGGATCACGAGGTCAAGAGATCGAGACCATCCTGGTCAACATGGTGAAACCCCATCTCTACTAAAAATACAAAAATTAGCTGGGCCTGTTGGTGCACACCTACAGCTAGTGCTCAACTTACGACCACGGTCGGGACCGTGGACAGGTTGTAACATGATTTGGTCGTAAGTTGAGTAGGCTATATGTACAGTTGAAATGGTGCCCGCAGAGATGGTAGTGCTGCCGGAAGCTGGTCCGCACTGTCATACGCCCAGCTGGGCAACGTTTGCGCTGCCAGACGTGGAGCAGTCGTGGCTAGCGATTGTGGTCGTAAAATCGAATGGTCGTAAGTTGCATAGGTGGTAAGTCGATCAATACCTGTATAGTCCCAGCTGCTTCAGAGGTTGACGTAGGAGGATCACTTGAGCCCAGGAGATCGAGGCTGCAGTGAGCCGTGATTGTGCCACTAACTGCCTCCATGTTTTATTTTTATTATTTTGTCAATCAGGGAGCTTTATTTTCTGTTACAAAGAGGTAAATGTGTCTTTGTGAGCTTATCTGGATTATAATTAGCTTTTAGTGGTCGCATGTGTTCTGTTCTACTGCTCAGAGGGTTGAATTGCTCTTTGAAGAGTCTGGTTAGTAATGATTTTGCTATTTTCGAGTGGGAGTAATTGACTTGAATTATTTCGTTGGACTCTGAGCATGTTTGAATTGCCAGTTATTTCTGATGGGCGCTAATGGGGAAGTTTAAGGAAAAGGACAAAGAGCTTCCTTTTGTTAAAAAAAAAAAAAAAAAAAAAAAGAGACCTACTGAAAGGGGACAAAAATTGTTTAACCTCTTGTCTGAAAATCTTTTGCATTTAATTTAGGCCTTTCCCTTAAGTAGTTCACAATAAGCCAAAGAGGTGGAAATTAATGTTTTCTCCTTTCTGTCTCCTCTTCCTCATTTATTGGAAACAAAAGAAAAATTTATATTGTTTCATTTATGTTGTCTTATGTATTACAGAAAAGTAGATGGTTTCTGTAAATCATTTTTATTTTCTTCTGTTTCAGTTTTATTGATCTTTTTTATGGTCTGGGTTGACCATATCTAATAGGTCTACAGGCAGAAGTTTAGGCATTGTTTTTATGTGGAGCTAATCAAGGAGAAGGATAAAAGTAAGAGCCTTCTTTTTCAGGCTCACTGAAAGGGAGAACTGTTGCTCTCCAAAGGTCGGTCATATGGTTGGTAAAGAGCATTAAAATGCTCGGTTTTCGATTTTGGATTTTCTTCCAAGTGACTGGTACACATTCTGTAAGTTTTGATGTAGGTACTTTACTTATCTAGGGATTAACAGGAAGTTTACACACAGCCATTGGCACTTCTGTTTGTAGGATAAGCTCTCATTTTGTCCTTTTTCTTCAAAATTATCTTGATTAATCCTGGCCCTTTGTGCTTAGCCTATCAAATTCTACAATAGTCCTTTTGGGATTTTGGTTAGAATTACATTGACTTTGTAGATTATTTTGGGAAGAATTAATATCTATTATAACAGGTATTCCTATCTATGAATGTGATTGGTTTCTTCATTTATATAGATTATCTTTTTAATGTTTCAAAATAGATCCTATAATTTTCATAACAGGTATATATACCTTTTGCTAAATTTGTTCCTAAATACCTTATATTTTGTTCATTGTTAAAATAAGATTATTTAAAAATTTTTATTTTCTAAATTTTGCTATTGTATAGAAATACTGTTGACTTATATATTGGGTTTGTATTTAACAACTTTGCTAAACTTTCCTATTGTAATAATTTCTTTTTGGTTTTCAGTGTAGAAATGAAATTATCTCAGCTGGTTGTTTCAAGATTAAAAAATGAAGTGAAATTATCTGCAATAATAGTATTATTTTCTCCTTTCCATTTTGTGTACCTTTTATTTTTATTATCTTACTGTGCTGGGAAGGACTCAGTATAGTATTAGAAGAGAAGCAATGATACAAGGTATAATTTTCTTATTCCTGCATTTTAAAGGGAATACATTTAACATTTTATCTTTAAGATGATCATTACAGATTTCCAGTGGATGGACTTTATCAGGTTAAGGCAGTTCCCTTTTATTCTTACTTTGCTAGAAAGTCTTACCATGAAAGAAGTTTGAATGTTATCAAATGCTTTTCTGCATCTATTGAGACAAACTGTGTAGATTTTCTCTTTTAATCTGTTGCTGTCATACTATTGGCTTCCATCTAATACTTCTTGCTTTTTCTGCTCCATTCCCCCAGGTGATTTATGGAGTTATGATTTCTTCAGTGGTGAGTTTGTGGTGTCACCTGAACCAGACACAAGTGTCCACACTCTTGACCCTCAGAAGCACAAGTATATTATATTGGGGAGTGATGGACTTTGGAATATGATTCCACCTCAAGATGCCATCTCAATGTGCCAGGACCAAGAGGAGAAAAAATACCTGATGGTGAGAAGTGATTCAATAACTTGATATTGTTGTCTAAACATTGTTTAGGTATTTCTGTCAGGTTGTTGAATATGAATTAAGGACATTCACCTTGGGTAGATTTTTGCATTTGCCTGGATCTGCTAGTGGGTAAAACATAGGCTTTGTAGATCCTAATCATTAGGGGAATGAGGCAAGAAATAAGTAAGAGAAACCTAATAACAAAATACACAACCACTGACTTCAGTATAAATTGGCCTATGAAATATTGCTAATAATTCCTTATTTTAAAAATGATATAATTTGTGTACCATAAAATTTATCCTTTTAAAGTATATAATTCAGTGATTCTTAGTGTAGTTCACAAAGCTGTGCAACCATCACCACTACTTTTTTTTTTTTTTTTTTTTGAAACAGAGTCTCGCTCTGTCTCCCAGGCTGGAGTACAGTGGTGTGATCTCAGCTCACTCTTAACCTCTGCCTCCCAGGTTCAAGCGATTCTTCCACCTCAGCCTCCCAAATAGCTGAGACTACAGGCGTGGGCCACCACACCCAGCTAACTTTTTGTATTTTTAGTGGAGGTGGGGTTTCACCGTGTTGGCCAGGCAGGTCTCGAACTCCTGACCTCAGGTGATCTGCCTGTCTCAGCCCCACAAAGTGCTGGGATTACAGGTGTGAGGCACCATGCCTGGCCTCCATTACCACTACTTCTACTACTTTTTTTTTTCCCCCCAAGCGATGAAGTCTCACTGTGTTCCCCCAGGCTCGTTTAGAACTCCTAGGCTTAAGCAGACCTCTCACCTGAGCCTCCTGATTACCTGGGACTACTGTGCTGCTATGCCCAGCTTCTAATCTCACAACATTTTCATCATCATCCCCTAACAGAGTACATGGATGTATCTGGAATCAAAGACTCACAGATGGGTTATCCTTAGAAAAGATGATCTTTCTCTTAGATGGAAGAAATGGTAAAGCTGTATTTTGAGGTGAAACGAGGGGCAAATTGATTGAATTTTTGTTAAATTGCCTCCATTCAGGCCAGGTGTGGTGGCTCAAACCTGTAATCCCAGCACTTTGGGAGGCCGAGGCGGCTGGATCACCTAAGATCAGGAGTTCAAGACCAGCTTGGCCAACATGGTGAAACCCCGCCTTTACTAAAAATACAAAATTAGCCAAGTGTAGTGGCACACGCCTATAGTCCCAGCTACTTAGGAGGCTGAGGCAGGAGACTCTCTTGAACCTGGGAGGCAGAGGTTGCAGTGAGCCAAAGTTATGCTATTGGATTCCAGCCTGGGTGATAAGAACAAAACTCTGTCTCAAAAAAAAAAAAAAATTGCCTCCATTCATTCACTCAGCTAACATATTAGGCACAGGGGTTACAAAAGTAAATAGAATATGGTCCTTCCTCAGCACTTACCATATTGTTATAAATAGAATATATAAATAACTAACAATCCCATTAGATTATGAGTTCTTTAAAGGTGAGAGTCATTTTGATTCAGTTTTACAATTTCAGGGCCTGGTGTGTTGCATTTAGTCAGAGATTATCAGATATCAAAGAGTAGCATAAAGACTGTTCTGTCTAATGGATTTAGAATTCTTTAATGATCTGAGAGAGATCATTTCAATGGCATGAAAACAAAAACTAGTTTGTAGTAGGTTGGAAGAACCTATTTATGGACACTAAAGTGTTTTAAGATGAGTATTGAAGGAAGCATCCGTATAATAATAATTAGAACAAGTCTTATGAGACCTGAGAGAGTGAGACAATAGAAAACTTCAGAAGATTGCATAGGAAGCTTCATGGAAGAGAGTGATATTTGAGCAAGAAAGTTTGTAGGATTGATCTAAGGCAACAATGGTTTTTGGAAAAAACACAAATACATGTAGGCCTGGCGCGGTGGCTTACGTCCGTAATCCCAGCATTTTGGGAGGCCAGGGCTGGTGGATCACTTGAGGTCAGGAGTTCAAGACCACCCTGGCCAATATGGTGAAACTCCATCTCTACTAAAAATACAAAAATTAGCTGGGCGTGGTGGCATGCGCCCGTAATCTCAGCTACTTGGGGGGCTGACACAGGAGAATCACTTGAACCCAAGAGGCAGAGGTTGCAGTGAGCTGAGATTGTTCCACTGCACTTCAGCATGGTTGACAAAGTGAAGCTTTTGGTCTCCAAAAA